ACCTCATTGAAACCTTGATTTAAAAAAAGAAACGACACTAGGTACATTAGAAAGGCTTAGAAAACCACTAGAGGGACATTCTGAGCTTCCGATTGGTTATTTACATGACATATATACACAAGTAAGTGTATATAGGGGACTGTTTCCAAAAACTGGAAAGAAATGAGCAGAACCACTGTGTTTGATTCAGTACATGAGCGATATCTCGGCAAATATAAAAGATAGGAAGTTCTTATTTTATATTCTAGCTTGTTAATGTTAGTAATTTGAGTTTCTAATTCATACGAAACTATAGACTTGATGTATTTTGACATCACAAACATATAATTTGAACCAGTGCTGCATTCAACATACCAAGTGACACACAAAAATCGATATTTAGAATTTCTTTTTAATATTTACTTTTAAATTAAAAAATTATCTAAAAGATCAATACTAAAATTTGAATTATAATATACAATTTGGTACCAAACTTATTGACATACATTCATAAAATAGTAGATCAGTAAAATTTTGATTGCAAAACTACAAACACGATGACACGGCCTTTGACCCGTGACCATAGGAAGACCCATAGAGATAGGGTTAATGGACATATCCTTTAACAAATACTCTTGAAACTAATGTTATATTAATAACTTTTCTGACCTTTGTATTTGAGGTCTCCTTGTAACATATTTGCCTATACTACATTATCAAAGGATAAAAATTAATCAATTCCTGAAATACGCATCATGTACTTATCAGAATATGTTATTAATAGAACATTTGCCTATACTACATTATCAAAGGATAAAAAATTAATCAATTCCTGAAATACGCATCATGTACTTATCAGAATATGTTATTAATAGAACATTTCAAGACTGAAAAAAACTACTTTGGTTAGAAGTGATTGGGGTAATTTGCTCCCTTTAAAATAAAAATAATTCAAGTCCATTATGTTTTTTTGTTCAACAGAATTTGATAATATTGTTATCAGTGTTCCAAAACATTGATCCAATTTTATAATACAACAGCTTACCCTCTTATTTTGATATAGTACTCTGATATGTATCAGTTCAATGAGTGTTCTCACCTGTGTTCTGGATCAGGACTCCTGATTAAAAGATCCCTTTTCTTCTCTCTAAGAAAATACTCTCCAGCAAAAATATTTTCCAGATATTCAGTTTGCACAACTAACTAGAAAAACAAACAAACAATGAAACAAAGTTCTACCAGAAAAAAAGATTTTTCTTTAAAATATTTGAATATAAAAGCAAGATAAAATGTTAGTACTGATCCAGCTTTTGATATGTTTCAATCAGGGCAGGGACTTGAGACACAAATGTGTTTGGGTGATAGGCAAAAATGTCTGATTTAATTATTGTGAATGTCATAGTATACTATATCCTTGAGACAAAATAGGGGGGGGGGGCTTCTCCCACTTTCCTATGATAATTCCCCGTCAATAATACTGAGCTAAACTGAAGCAAATCCTTATGAACACTACAATTTACCACGTTAAAGTTCTTATCATCAATATAAAAATGTTTTTTGCTGGATACGGATTTTGATTAAATATCTAAAAGAGGTGCGAATAAAGAATCATGTTAATCTATACCAAATAATGGAGATTGTACAGAGAGATTCTAACTAGAGCTGTGCTATTAGTGCTGATCGATTACGTAAAACTAACAATTATTTTTACATGATTAATCTTCCTATTTTCAGATTTTTTCAAAGACACTTTCGCTTAATGTAATGAGGCATCTTCAAGTGTTTCTGTTGGCAGTTTTTAGTTGTTCATTTTGCAAAAAACTTATTCTGGCCCAAATAATTTGAAAATATAACAACTTGAACACTTTCTACTTTGTAAATCCTTGATGTCACAATGACCATTGTTATTTGGTTTCTTTTATAAATCTGCAGAGTTCCCCACACTGATCTCACGTAAATAAAATAAAATGATAATCAAATAATGAAAATGTTTTACTACCACTCATAATGGGTAAAATGTTTTTAAAAAAAAAGATATTGTGATTGCAATTTAAAAAAAAAAATAAGTAGCCAGTTAGCCAATTTATTTTTTGCATTATTTGAATGCATTAACATAAAAATAATCATATAAATAATACACTTGCATTTATCTGTCTGGAAGTTTTCTCACAAATTTCTTGATTAATCGCTACAAGTCTCCTATCATTAGAAAGGCCTTTGCTCAAGGAGGCTGGATTGCATATTGGCTTTTCAATTCAGAATCACTTTATCTGGTTTTTGCCTAGTCAAACTTTTTATGCAACAAGTATGCTACACAATGGCACAATGTTGTAGTCATCATGTGACAATTAGCGAACAATATAATTATTGCTGTTTGTAACTCGATATTGTTGTTAATATTGAAAGGTGTTTTGGAATAACTTGTTGTTGTATTTTTTGGAATCAGGTTTTTTCTTTATCTGATTCTTTTTCCCGATTCCATAATTTATTAATAATGATACTTATATCTTTTTTTTTTTTATTAACATTAGTATCAAGTTCTGGCCAGGCATTTGTTTATTAACAGTGTTTTTTTGACAGTGCAAAAGTTTATTACAAGTGTTCTTATAGATGGATAATTTGTTTTTATTATTACTGAACCCCGGTTGTAGCAGCACCCTCATTTAGACCGTCACAAATTTCTAACGAAACTATAAAAACTTCCAAGCTCTGTAATTTGTTACTTCAGAATTTCCCCCCCGAATATCAATGATACAAGAGCTGTGACTAGAAACCTTTACACTAAACCATAAACTACTCTTCAAAAGACTAAATTTACTCTGACGTAAAAAATCTAATTTTTGCTGTATCCAATCATATTTAAACTTAGTTTCTACCTGTTTCCATAGCTTTGTTTCCTTATTAAATAATCAAACCTCTTGAAGTGACATCATAAATGGATGGCAACACATCCCTGTACAAAAAATAAGCATAAAATAATGAGGGAAACACTTGAAAATAGAGAAATGAATAATATGTTCTCAAGGGGTGATAATTTCTTTGAGATGGGCAGAATTTTTTTTTTTTAAATCAAGAAGTGTGCTGTATATTTCCCCTTGATGCAGTGTAGAAACGAAAATTGGCATTTTTTTTTGCATTTGTCTTCATGAATTACACTAAATGAATGTTAGAAATACCAATACTATTTTTTTTTTAATTATTGAAATAGAATTAGAATTAATGTGAAAGAAATGGCAGAAAAATATGAAAAAACATGAAAATTTCTCATATAGCAAAATAACACAAACCAGTTACGACCAGAATATACAATTACAAGCATTAGGTGGGTTTCTCCCAACAAACTTCTACATGACTACAGTACTAAAATACTGAATTTATGTCGATAAAATAAACATACTACTTTGTGACATTTTCAAACAACTTTTTATATAAAATTAAAAAAAAAACTCATATATAAGATTTTAAAAGGTATGACTAGTTTTGGTCACATGAGGCATCAGTTAATTAAATGCATTATTCACTAATGGAAAAAAAGTATTATTTTTCAGTAAACGTTAAAGAATACATGCTGTTTGACCAACGATACCGATGTTCATATCAGAACTCACTGGATACAGTAATTAAGGCCAATACTACTTGTGCTTTTTAAAATATTTTATTTGTGATTGCTTTTTTTTTAGGGTACTAAAGTTTATTAAACTAATATTAAAAGTTGTTTGAAAATGTCTTTAAGCACTCTCAGAATATATCCACATTCTCTAAGTGATGTTGTACTTGTGATATTGATTATAAATAAGAAATATTCTAAACCTAACAGTTACTAGCGAGATTACTAGCAGGTACACGAGTTATATACTCTTAGTTCTTAGGATCAAGTTTACAGTTTTATGTGAACAAAACAATCAGAAAACAAACCGGTAGAAGAGAATAAGATTAACACGAGTATGAAATTGGTCATTTTGTACAAACAACATTCTAGTGAAAAATGAGCCAACGAGTATGAAATTGGTCATTTTGTAACAAACAACATTCTAGTGAAAAATGAGCCAACGAGTATAAAATTGGTCATTTTGTACAAACAACATTCTAGTGAAAAATGAGCCAACGAGTATGAAATTGGTCATTTTGTACAAACAACATTCTAGTGAAAAATGAGCCAACGAGTATGAAATTGGTCATTTTGTACAAACAACATTCTAGTGAAAAATGAGCCAACGAGTATGAAATTGGTCATTTTGTACAAACAACATTCTAGTGAAAAATGAGCCAACAATTTATTATTTTGAATCAGCAAAAAAGCTGATTCCACCCATCTCTATCCTTATTGCATTTATTATATTATGCCACACACAAAATTAATTAATTAATTAAACAATAATAATAATAATTCTGTGTTTGAGGTAAAATTTTATCAAATCAAGAATTAAGTTACTTTAAGTTTAAGTTTCATGTCTGATATTTTAACAAACATGCATTTTTTTTTTACTCCATATATCATGTTTACTTCCCAGAGGCTTATGAGTAATAGGCCGAAGACCTTGTTTCTAATTAACAGTTTCCCAAATAGACTTTCAATTGAAATACTCTAGGGAAGTAGTAATTGAAGTTGCTATATTCATACCATGCCAAATTCTTTTCTTAACAACATTTAATACTTCGATATAAAATGATAGTTCATTACTATATATATACTACCTAAATTCGAAACAATAAAATAAAGTTTATAATGTATTAATTTTTCTGATTTATATTAATATTTAGACCCTGTTGAACTTCTACACTCTTAAGTTGCAGTAAAAAACAAACTACTTTAGGGTGTGTGTATGCATATATATAAATTTATCTTGACCATTACAATGTGAACCTTTAGCATAATATAATTTAGCGTTATATCTCAAAGTAACATTTTGTGTCCAGTTCATTACAAAACTTGGTAACAAAAATAAAGGGGTGAAAATTTCCTGACTGATAAACATCCAGTTACTCTCTCTGAATGCTTTTAGAAGGCATAAATGGTTTATGGTCAGGAATTTTTTTTTCCAGGTTTGGTCAACTAACTGTAAAAATAATTTTTTCTTACACCTTAAAAAAAGTTCTACCGCAACTACAGCCTATTTATACATAATTAATCACAGAGTATGGTTTATCATATTATTCTACACAATTTAAAGTTGAAGCAACTTTATACGTCATGTTTTGTTACTTTAATAAAATTATTTATAAGTTTTAATGCTATATTGATTTATCAATTTCTTATTCTTTACTGAATATTGATTAGTACATTTACGTTTGTAATTTACCACATAGTTAAAAGTCTGGTATCACTAAATGGATGAATACTACTACTACTTTACAATCATTTGCTTCATGGTCAGAAAGTTTCTGGCTGCAAACATGCCAATGTCTGTAATAACTTCCTCCACAACAAATTTAAGAACGTAAGAGGTGTTGTATTACAAACATAACATGTACACAGTGTAGAAAAAGTAAATTCACAGTTTAATGCTAAAGGATAAAATTTCAATAATTATAAATTACAATATAGCACAATGTAAGAACTATAATTTTACACCTAATTCAACATTAAGTAATACAGTTACACAATTATAAGTTAAAAACGATGTAAGAAAACAGTAAATCTATACTTTATTTAATAGTAAAGGAGCTCAATAGTTAATGGTTGCTTTCCCTCCATTTGGCAGTTCAATATTATGGACAATAGCAGAGAGCTTTAGTAACTTTGACATAACTCAAAAACAAAGAAACATAATGCCCCACAGCAAAAGGCTGAGCAAGTTTATTGGCAACAGGAATCAAACATGAGACTCTCAAATTTATTTATGGTGTGTTTGTGCATGTTTATAGCAAAGCCACATCAGGCTATCTGCTGTGTCCACCGAGGGAGGAATCAAACCCCTTATTGCAAATCCGAAGGCTTATCACTGTCCCCAAATATATTTATAGTATTTAATTTCTTTCAAAAAATAAAATTTTTTATATGTTAATGTTTAACTGTTCTCAGGTATTTTTAGAAAAAATTCTTTCAATTTTTAAGCAAAATAATTAGTTTCTGTCACATAAAATAAAACACAACTTTCCTTTGAGTTTCTACACTTTACTGTACAGCTATTACAGATTTATGTTGAAAGATTATTATCGGCCCGGCATGGCCAGGTGGTTAGGACACTCGACTCGCAATCTGAGGGTCGCGGGTTCGAATCCCCGTCCCACCAAACATGCTCG